ATAACATAATATAATATAATATAATATAGCATAAGTGCTGTATTATTGACTACCTATTAGAATGTTTCCATAACTGGGGGGAAAGCACTTTATTCTGATGTCCTCTATTAAAAATATTTGTTACCACCAATGCATGTTGGCAGTACTTTTTGCCTTTCTATGCAGAATCAGTGGTGTAGTTCCGTAACTGTCTTAAGCACTTCTAATACTGTGCTTTTGTAATAATATATGATTGGCCTTTGTTCAGAGAAAAAGAAATATGCTTTTGCAGCAATCTCAACATGTACAGAATCGCTTGTCAAACATTACTGATTGCTTTAAAAATCTTTCTGTGTTAAAGATGGAGATGCAAGTGAACTGGAACGTACAAGGCAGTACATGAATGAAGCTCAGTCAGGGGCTATGACATGTTTGATCTGCATTGCATCAGTTAAAAGGAACCAAGCTGTAAGTATTTTACCAGTAGTCTTTTAGAATAAAGCAAATATAACTGTCTAAATAACTTGTGTTTAATTGTATTACTAAGGTAATTCTTGGGACTGATAGTTTTAAAATGCAGAAGTACTAAAGGCAACATTTGGGGTCTTTGAATTTTTCAAATACTTGAATAAGTACTTATATACATAGCTGGTAATCAGAGTATGTATTTTTTGAGATGTTGGTTAGTGTAATGTAAACTAGTTACTCTTAAATCTTGGAGAGTAGCAGATGGAAAAAAAAAGGAAAAAAGTTTGCAATGGCGTATTCAATAAGCTATGTTGTAGCAAACATCAAAACAAGAAATATTGTGAAGTTAGGAAATATTATTGTTAGATTTATAGCAGGGGAGCTAAGATAAACTTTGCTGCTTCAAATGCTGATCAGATGAAAGAGAAGGGTGGTATGTCTGAGAAGATTGTTTTATTTCATATAAGTACATTCTTCAGGGAAGAGATTTCAGGACAAGTCTTTTTAACTTTTATTGCTATGTATCAGTTTCCCTTTGACTTTGGCAGGCCCAGCTCTGTTTCTGTTACAGTTACTTAACTCAAATACATGTTCACAACTGTATGTTTAACTTTAAAAGAAAAAAAAGTACAGAAAATCTTTAACTACATATGCTGGATGTACGTGGATTACAAGTATTTAATGAAACTGTAGCCACTAACTTTTTTAGAGAGAAATGCAGTATGTTTTGTATGAATTCTTGACATATTTAATTGATACATTTTCAGACTGTAATGCGTATATTTAGTTCAATTTTAAAGTTCTGTGTCTCTTGATAGAGTTAATCTTATCTCAGCAGAAGCGAGATCATTTGGCAGCTTGACAATCAGTGATCAGTTATCTGGCATCTGTAACATTTCAGACATATGTGTTTGTCTACTTAATGTCTCCTGTTTAGCTTTAGTTTTGGGAAGTTAGTCACAGTACTTTTAGAAACTTGCCGAGGACGAAGTCGATGACTTAAGTTAGTGGCAAAATTCTCCTTGTTTTCACAGTATAATTTTATAACGATGTCCTCAGTTATTAAAAAATAAAGAAATTAAAATTTAAGTTTTCTGCTGCAATTCTCTTACCAAATTGTTGCAGTCATTTTAAGCTGACAATTTAAGACACCAATATGTGGAAAATACCAAAGTCATGAAACTGCATTTCTGTTACTTAAGCTGCTTTTCAGCAGCAGGCTCATAATCTAAGCACAGGGTTGTGATTTCACGCCAGAACTGACAAAGAGAAGTACACTGGGAACAAGAACATAAAGGTTTAATGGTGGAGACAGGATACTGGCAAAATCAACTCTCTGTTAACACATTTGCTTTTAATTCTGTTCTATTTTATACCTTTCTTGCTCTTTGAACAAAAGACACTATGTTGAAAGCCGCACTTCTAATAACTTCTTTTTCTTAACTAGCATTTTATGTAAATCCTAAAATTTGGAAGGGGGGAAAATCTTTCTAGTACTTTTACTACCAAGTTGTTTAGAGACCTAGGGACAGGGAGAGAGGTGGAGGAGGAGCTGGGCTTGTTTAGTTTAACAGAGGAAGCTAAGGAATGATATGATTGCAGCCTCTGTCTACTTGGAGTTGTGAAGGTGGCTAAAGCCAAAGTCATCTTTGTGGTGTCACATGGTGTAATAAGGGGCAATGGCACAAAGTGGGACTTGGGAGGTGCAGACTGGCTTCTAGGAAGGTAGAGTGACACTGGGAGCAGGTTGCCCAGAGTGGTTGTGGAGTCCCCATCCTTCAGGATATTCCAACTGTGCTAGACAAAGCAGTGCCTGAACTGGGCTAAGTTGGCAGTAGTCCTACTTTGGACATGAGGTTGTGCTGCCTTACCTTCAACAGTGTGTTTAAGTCAACGTTTCTATGAGTATTTTGGTCTCTATAAGCCTTGGCAAAAAATTCCCACAGCAGCAGGAAAAAAGATTAAAGGTATGAATCTGTAACAGTAAAACTGCCCTTATTAATCTAACAATAGGTATAATCTATCTTCGGAAACCCATTTTTAAAATGGAAAAATAGCAAGACTGTATTTATTTAGATATTACAGATGTTCATCAACAGAAACAGAAAGAAACCTAACATAAAGCAATTGGCACTTATATCTGTTCTTTAGGTCTGGAGCTGTTGTGGATGCTTTTGTATATTTCACCTGGTGTGTATCCAGAAGTGGGCCAAGGACAGCCTTTTCCTTGTGTCTTCTCCTTTGACAGATGATAGTTTTGGGAAGAAAGATTATCCTTGGCCATGGTGAGCTCTTTATGGTACATTTGCAAAGATACTTTTATTGTGAAACATATGTGAACTGGAGTTGCTTTAGAAAGGAATGATATTTGTAAATGACATGCATACCAAAATTAACGTAATTCAGGAATATTTCACAGTGATATTAAAACTCAAGCATTAAAGCCAATCTTGCAGTTTTACATGAGAATTGTATAAATAAGAAGGTAATATTGTGGCTGCATGAATAATGAAGCTTGCTCTTTCAGTAGGTTTGTGTCTGAAAATTCAGTCAAGATTTCTCTGTGCGTGTTTGTTCTATGCTTAATTTGTCCACCTACTTGTTATGTGGAAACTTGTACTGTCTTTGAGACACACTCCTCTGTCAAATTTGTTTGTAAGGGCGTGGTGGATTCAAAAGCTCTGTTAATGCGGGATCTCAGAAAGCAGGTCTGCTTAGGAAATAAGTTGTAAAATTGTTGGCTTGCAGCAGCTCAAGTTGATAACGCTTATTCTACTGCAAACCAGTTTTATGTTTAAGCGTAATGTTTATAATGAAAAGAATTTATTTAACTTTTAAACACATGCTCTGCGTTTAAAAGAAATAAAATCTGATTAACTACATAACTGTAGTTACTATGAAGAAATGGTTTACAGCCTATAATGTATTATATATGGGTAAATTTACATTTTATTTGATAAAAATGAGTACATAGATTTCTCTGTTCTTCTCTGAGGAAGAGCTTCTTGTCTGTTTTCTTTTCCCAGTGTAGCCAGAAATGGGAACTGCTTTGTTTCTCCCTCCTTGTCTTGCCTCTTGTCCATAGCTTGCACCTGAAAGCCTTTAATGCCTATGGCACTATCAAGCTCCAGACCTTTGGTGCCTATCTACCTTTAGGAATAATGTATTTTTTAATACCTTGCACCATTAAGGATAACAAATAAAGGTGTGCATCTTTCAATATCTAAGATGCTGAACTGCCACAATCAGTTCTTTCAGCTAAAAATTTTAATTAATATGCATACTTTTAATAGCATCACTAAATCTTGTGTTACATAGCTTATACATTGATACTGGTAAAACTTCCCATATGTTAATATTTTTTTTTTTTGGGTTGGTTCTGTTTACGTAGATTAACTCTTTGTCGCATACATTCCTTTGGTATTACATTAAAATTGTTCTGTACACTTGCTACACTGATTATTTTTTATATATATTCTTAAAGAAAAAAGACAATTGATAAGACAGTTCGTTAGACATTCCAATGAATGTATTGTAAAATCTGACATATAAGAAGACTTCTATGGTATATAATAAATTTAATTATGTTGGTTACAGTATTTGCAAAAACAGTCAATAGTTAATCTGGTAACAATCTTGGGAAATGGAAATGATAAAAGCTAAAAGCTGCTTTTCTTTATAAAAAAGTTTTCAAAAAATGCTTTTCTTCTCACGCTGTTTTTACCTTGTTGTAGTCCAAAATGTAGGTTTGAATACAAACGGTCTGAAACTCCCAGTAGGTATTACTGTTACTGTGGAAAAGTGGAGAATCCAACACTGGACCCATGGCTGGTACCTCACTCCTGTGGTCAGATATGTGAAAGGGAATTCAAACCTTCTTGTGGTCATAAATGTTTGCTGCTCTGTCATCCAGGTAAACCCATTGCGTGTCTTAGTGACCTGTATTTATGTAGCTGTTACACAGTTTTACTTAAAATCTGCCAACTGTATTTGAATAAACTCGATGTCAAGGCTGCATTTGCTGAATGGCCATTAGCGAGGTATTCTTATTCCTGTATTTAGGACCGTGTCCACCTTGCCCAAAGATGGTCACAACAACTTGTCACTGTCAGAAGGCTAAACCAGTGCCGCGAAGGTGCAGTGCCAAGGAATGGTCTTGTCGCCTGCCATGTGGACGAATGTTGCTGTGTGGACAACACACTTGTGAAAATTCCTGTCATGCAGGTAGACCTACCTTCCTAAACTTCAGAGGAGTAGCTGTTTTAATTGTTAAGATTTAAAATTCTTTTGCAATTTCTACTCTCAATGTCACTTCACAATTACATACAGGAGATTGTCAGCCTTGTCCACGAGTCAGTAAACGGCGGTGCATCTGTGAAAGACAGACAGCAGAAAGACTTTGTGCAAGTCCTCAGTGGCAATGTGATCAGGTATGTTGAAGCTGTCCTGTTTAGCTTATTCTTCATCTTTATAAAATTTTATTACTCAGTGTATTAGGGATTGGAAAAACGCATTCCATAAGAAAATACTTTTATTTTTTAGGATTTGAAAGTGCAATCAAAATGTAAGCCAGCAGTGTTTGAGAAAGGATCTACTTGGTGACCCAGTTCATTTCTCACAGTAGTTAAAAAGTCACTGTTCTGGAATTGTGTTAAGGTTAAGCTAGCAGTGAATTTGACCTTGTATATATTTTCTTTTTTTTTTTTTTGTACTTGAGGTTGAAATTTCAGCTGCTATCTTCAAAATAGGCATGAAACCACAGCTTAGTAGATAAGAGTGTCATGCTTATTAACTTCTAGTGACTGTAACAGAGTGAAAGCTTTGTGATTCATTCTTTGAACTATATTTGCAGCTCATTCTTAGAACCAAGGCAGACTGCAAAAAAATAAAAATAATTTTAAAAGTTGACAGGTGGGAGGTTGCATCAAGAGGTACTTGGTCATTATGATCCCATTAAGAAAGGTACTCAGCCTCTAAAGTATCAGTTAAAATGTGATTTATTTCAGCTAACACTATAGAAAAAGGGAGTATAATATAAATAATAGTATGGCACTTTAGATGCTGGGAACTCCAGCTGTGCTGCATTGAATTGGCCTCTGATCCATGTGCAGCATGTAGTGCAGACCCCATCTGTAGAAAAGGTTACCCCATTTTGGGCATTGAAGCTATTGTAGGATTTTGTTACAGTAAAGCAATTCTGTTTATCATTTCTATTGTCAAACAGAAAGGATGTTAAGAAGAGAGCTTCTTGCTGTGTTTTGTCGAAAAGGCAAGGACTTGCATGTGGCATAATCATTGGTATTAAGTGGGAGCTGCTTCCAATCTCTTCTGCTACAATAGGTTTATCCTGTGGCCAAGAGATTTTTGCAGCACAGTACAGGCCTGAAGGCCAAGCTGTACATGCAGCACAGCACAGGCCTGGGACAACTTGGGTTAACTGTTATGTGAACCACTAACTCCTCAGTGTACAGCGGTCTTCCAGTCAGGATCACTGCAAGGGAGATAAGTTTTATTTGGCAAACTCGGCAAATATACTTGTTAACAAAATTCAGAAAAAGCTAAATTCCTTCCGTATATCTCTTGCTCCTAGTTTTTGTGCTTAGATTTCTTTGTCTTGGTATGTAGTTCCATTACATTACATTTTACTGGTTTCTCTGAGTTTTCCAGGCGTGTGGGAAACCTTTGCCTTGTGGTAATCACACATGTGAAAAAGTTTGTCATGCTGGTCCCTGTGGAGACTGCCCTCGTTCTGGTAAAAGGTCCTGTCCATGTGAAAAATCAAGTAAGCTGCTTTTTATACTTAAAGAAAGTAAATTAAAAAAAAAAAGATTTAAAAAAGAAAAAGCCATCCAGTCAGTAGTTGAGGTTAATCCTGCAGGGCAGGGTCTATGAAAAGTTCTTACGAACAGTGACCTGTGATGGCTTATGTTAGCTTTTTTGCTTAATTCTTTCAAAGCTTTATTTAGTACCAGGGGTTTGATTGGTAATGTGAATAATTGAGTAATTCTAGATAAGCTTTTAAAAAAAGGAGAGAGAATTGCATTTGAAGTCATATTACATGGTGCATTTTTTTCTAAATATCATGGCTTTTTTTCTGAGTGTTTGCTTGTACTTCTCTCTCTTCCTCTAGAGTTTACATTACCTTGTACAGAAGATGTGCCCACCTGTGGTGATAGTTGTGACAAAGTTCTGGAATGTGGCATCCATAAATGTTCACAGCGCTGTCATCGAGGTCCCTGTGAAATATGCAGACAGGTTAGTCTTACTGTAGCAGGCTCACATTTTGTTAGAGTTTTTAAATACTATGTGTCTGGAGCAGTGCAAGTCTCCTAAGGAGAATGAAGTCAAATCTATGACTTTCTGTTCATTCAAAGCAACACATTTTTTCCCTATTCCCCTCTCCTGCCCCAACAGAATTCAGACTTAATAGTTGAGCATTATGTGTCTGAATTGAGGCATGGATGAAGGTTTATTGTTTGGATTGTTTTTTGCTTGTTTGGGGTTTTTTTAATTATGTCCTAAAAGACACTTAATTTTTGCACAACATTTCTAGCTTCCTTGCTCCTTTGTCTTACTACTCTGTTTCTTCATTAGTGAAATGGATGTTGCTGTAACACAACGTTATTTCCCTGTTAATTAAAAAATAATATTTTGCTATGCTCTAAGTATCGTGGAGATTCTGTGGTCCAGCCTATAAAGCGCCTGTTCTGTCCTGAACCAGCTTTGGCTATGAAGTCTGTGGTGAAAGTAGTTAGCGCATGACAGCTGGGGTTGAAGGTCAGATAAACCTGCTCACCTAGTTCTTCAGTTAGCTGTATACACTATGGATGCATCTAGGTTACCAAGAAGGAGAGGTACTTTTTTGTATGAATTTGTTTTGCATTTACGCTTGACATCTTCCATAGCACACCAGAGTGGTTCCCTTGGAGTGTCTTCTCTCTTGGTGAGACCAAGGCTACATCGAGATGCTATCTGGAGCACAGTGTTTGCAAAAGCGACACAAGGTCTCCAAGTAGTACAGATAGGTAGTCTGCTCCGACCATGTGATAAACTTCCTGTTGTGATAGAGCATTGTAATGTTACTTTCCCATGAACTTTTATTTACAGATAGTAGTAGAACATTTTATTTTCCACTTTTAAAAATTAAAAATACCCTGCTTTTTTTCCCTATCTTGCTGTCTAGGAAGTTGAAAAACAGTGTCGCTGTGGAAAGCACACAAAATGCATGCCATGTCATAAGGCGTATCTGTGTGAAACAAAGTGTACTAAAATTCGTGATTGCCAAAAGCACCAATGTAGGAGAAAGGTAAGAGCCCAGAGACGATCTTTCTCAAATGTATTGTTTAGATAACATTTATTTAGATATAATTATTATATGTAAATCACATCAATCTGTTCTTTTACCTTATGTTATTGTATAGAGAGACATTTTCTTCAGTATCATTTAAATTAGTTTGCAATGTACCAGAATTCTCTGAACAGCATGTCATCATGAAAAACTCAGTGGCCTTAAAAACTAGGAGGGGATTTTGACAACTTTCTAATTTCAGAAGGCAGTTTTACTTTCAGATACCTAAATTGTTACTGGTGATTTATGTGTTTGGGAATAGTTAAATCCATTTATTTCCTTACTTTGTAGGAAGAGCTGGGAATATGTCATAACTTTGTAAGGGGCTTACTCTTATTTTTGACAGTGCAGCATTCCACCCCACCTAATATGCATCACTGCAAAGAGCAATAATCTGACAATTGAGAATTTGAGTTGCAAGTCTCAAGCCTTCTCATTTGAAGTCAAAGGAAGTCAAACCTCAGACCTATCTTTTCAGTTTATTGATTCAAGAAGGCCTGAAAGTTGCCTGTTATGTGTGAATTAAGACATTATGGAAGTTGGACTTCTTACCACAAAGAGGCATGCAAAATACGTATTTTTCTTAGGCATTTTGAGTATTACTATTATTACAATGAATTTGATTTATGTGAAAAGATGATAACACTAAGTAAATGCAATCTTGACATTTTTAATTTATGCTAAAAAAAGTAAATTAAAAGAGTTTATCTTCCTAATTGCCATCCTTCCTTTTATATAGTTCGGGCGGTGGGTACCTTTGATGTTAATAGAAAAGATGGAATTTTCTCCTGACCTGGCATCCACCAATGTGGTGGTGGTGTGATGTGTTCTGATTCTTCCACATTGCTACTTTATATAAGAACAGAAAGTAGATAACTATAACTGATCTTAAAGTTATCTGACCTTTACTACAAAGGTAAAAGGTGTTCAGAACACTGTTGTGCCAGGGAGGATATAGTATAAAAGTGGAAGAAACTGGAGTGTAAATTTTTTTTAACAAGTATTGAAAAAATGAGATAGTAGAGGAGGACAATTTTTTACCAGAAATGTCTAAGTTTTCAGTACTATGGAATACTTTTTTTAGTATAATATTACATTATTTTATATATTATTTTAT